AGTTTCATTTATGGCCCTTGAACTCTTAGGAACTTGTCAATTTGTTCATGACTCCATAAATCTTAACAGTAAGCTTATTTCATAACATTGTAGCTCTGTTTATTTTTAACCAATTTAATATCTATAAGACCACGATAACAAATTTAACTTGAATCACTCATCTTTTATCTTACTCAACAAATAGACTCATCATCCAATATGACATAAGATGCTTTAACCGAATAAAAAAATGAAAATGATTTTTTTATTTTTAAAATAAAAGACCTAGAAACTGATTTTTTTATTTTTTTTTTCGATTTCGTTCTCTGTAAAAACGAAAGAATGTTCATGGCCCATTCAAATAATGGACTTGGAGCTTAGGCAATACACAAAGCTATTTTTTAGTTACTTCTTCACCTCTTACGAAGTATATTTACTTTTTTTAACTATTTGATTATTATTGATTTACTTACATCTATCAAACCCAAAAGCTTAGTTGGATCTTATTTACGAAGTATATTTTTTAGTTACTTTTTTAGTTGATTATCATTGGTTTAATACAAATTGTACTTCGAATTCTAATGAACCCATATTGCAAGTGGTGATTACTAATAGTTCTCTTGCAATTTATTTGGTTGGATCGATTTGTAAGATAATATTTGGTTAGTCTGCAAGAAAAACCAAATGAATTTTCTTATGAAGTTTTATATAATATGTAAATGCCTATTGTTAAAACATAATAAAAAACCAAAACAAGATTATTATCAAAAATAAATAAATAAAAAATACTATTAGCTTTTTATAGTTATATAAATAAAATTCAGTATTATCGCAATTTTTGATTTCACCCCATAGAAGAATCATGAAGAAAAAAAAACACTTCCTACATATGAAAATCCCCATTTGCTTAATGTTGACTTAAAGAAAATCCCAAATTATGCAACAGAAATCGACTCAAAAAACCATTACAAGTACAAATAACTGCGAGTTCATTAGCAGCAAAAACAAAGATCATGGTACTTAAAAACATATGCACTTACGGACTACTAGTACACAGTGTGAGTTCACTCACTGAGTCGACTCACCAGTCCTCTTTCTTTAACCGGTGAACCATTGAGCCTGTAAAGATCTGTTCCATAAGGATTATAAACATGTGAGAGCCAATCATATACACCAATACTTCATAAATAAATTAGGGCAAATTTGTAAAAACACTCGATGTGGACAGGTTGTTTCTTTCAATTCCTCTCACATTAAAATTGATGAATATTGATATATTATTGAGAATCTCTTTTTTGGAATGTAGGGATAAAATGGTCATTCAAGCCATGTTTGGCAGACTAGCTGAAAAGCTAGTTTACAAAAAATGACGTTTGGTAAAAACTAGTTTATAAGTTAGCTGAAAGATATAAAATAATATAAAAGGACATTTAAAAGAATATGTTTTCTAAAATTAATTAAGGGTATAATCAAAAACTTTTAAAAAAGCTCCTGAAAAGCTAGTCTATATAGCTTTTTAAAAAGCTAGCTTATCAGCTATTTTTTGGCTTGCAAAACATGTCCATTAAAAAAAAAGTCGAAAGATAAGCTAGTTGTGGCATGCCAAACACAGCCTTAGTCACATTGAAGGTTTATTCAGTCTAAAAAAGCATACCTTATGTATATATCACCTTCTATATAAAAGTTATAAAACACTTTATCCAGACAAAAATTAGTCACTTCATCTATACAGGACTTAATGAGTGAATATAGGAAAAAACTTCAAAGTCTTATTTCCATTAAGGCTATTAAGTCAAAAAGAAATAAAGCTACATTTTTGTGAAAACAAGAAAGCATGCATATAATGTGTGAAGTAAATACAAAGAAAACAAAAATCTATAACTCACCAAGCAAGATTATCCCAGTGAAGGAACCCACCATGTCCTCTAGCATTTGTGAACTTGTAAGTAGGGCCAGAAACTATACCAACAACATTAATTATTAATTTAATTCAATTTTATTTAAAGGATAAAGGATATAAAATATAATGTTTTCTTTTTGACAAAAACTCATAAGAGGCTGAACTTTACCTTCATAACCCTCGAAAACTGGATCTTCAGACAGCAGAAGTGGTGTATCTAAGTCAATAAATCTATTCAAGAAAAAAAAACAGATTTGTTAAGAATTTACAATTAAAGGAGGGGTTAAATACAAAAAATAGCATCGTAGTTTTATTTATTTGTGTATATAGCATCCTACTATTATTTTACAACATTGTATTTTGAGTTTTTATTTTTATTTTTCTTATCAAGACATTGATTGTACATTGAAAAATCTACAATTGATGAAATTGATATTAATTGGGTAGAAATTTCAAAGTACAATGCTGTAATCGGAAGAAAGAAAAGTAGGGTGATATAATAAGCAAATCATCAAAAGCATGTTGCTATCTCTTAAACTTAACCTTCAAAGAAAAACAAGGTTATGTAAACATAGTTTCAAAGAAGAAACTTTATTACAACATTGTACTTTTTATTTTGTTTTCTTATTTACACATAGTACTTTGAAAATTCTACCAATTATATCATTCTAGTTTTAATTTGTTTCTTATTAAAACAATGTACATTGAAAAAAGAATCCGTACAACGAAAAAAATTGCTTTGTATATTTTGGAAGACATTGCTATAACTAGGTTTCTATTTAAACGTACAATGTTGTGGATTGCAATAATAAACAAATCAATAAAAGTACATTAATATTTTTTACATTTAACCTTTAAAGAAAGGGTAAATAGTACAAAAGTCATTAAGTTTACACCAAAATTCTAATTTGACAATGTTTTTTTATACGATTTAAAAGGGAACAAAAAAAATGATGTCCGATTTGGAACAAAAAATGGAGTGTCACGCCATCAAAATTGAACAAAATTGGAAAAAATGATGATCAATTTGGAACAAAAAAATTGAGTGTCAAAACTGAAAAAAAAAAAAATGAAAACTATGTCAAAATTGAAAAAAAGTGAAAATTTAGTGTTTTTTGTAACAAATTTTTTCAATTTTGACACGTCAGCATGTCATTTCAGCATACCACATCATCAAAATTGACACGTCATCATGTCACGTGAACAGGCAACCGGGTTGACCGGTCAAGTGGTCAGAATTGTAACAAATTGGCATTGCATAGTTTCACTTACTTAAAGCCGCCAAGACCAGCAGCAAGATGGCCCGCAAAGCCCATGGCAAGTCTAGTCTCAACCATCCCACCAATCATCAAATCAAGTCCAGAAGCTTTTGCCAAATCGATTATCTCAAGAGCCCCAAGGACACCTACTTTTGCTAATTTAATATTAACAACATCCGCCAGCTGTCGTTTTATTATTTCCTTAACATCCGCTAAACTTCTACAACTTTCATCAGCAGCAACCGATACACCAAATTTAGATTTCGCAACTTGAGTCACGTGGCCTAGACCTTCCCAATCGTCTCTGTGAACCGGTTGCTCAAAAAGAACTGGAGTCACATTCATTTCTGCAATCGTATCATGGAATATGAATATTTAAATCGTATAGAAAATCAAAATTGCAATTTTTTGTCATTGGTTGATTGTTTGTGAAAAAGACATGAATGCCCTTCTCGTTCTTGTAAGCGGAAATAATATCCCAAGGTGAGAGATCGAGAGCTGGAAGTTGGGATAGGTACAAGATATAT